TCTTAGAAGCAATTGTCGATATTTTCAAAGATAAAGGTAATTTACTCTTGCATATCTTTTTAAACAAGGTTAAATATTGTTTTATATCTGACAGTTGTCTTTCAGGTTTTATACCATGCAGAACTTTTTAAAAAGGAACTTTTTTTATATAAAAGTAAAAATAAGTTTCCCCATTACGTCAACTTAATTAGATACACTGTATTTGAATGTAAGATATACATGATGTCAAAAGTAAAAAACTGTAATTCTCCTTTATAAATCAATTTCTTTGTAAGCGCCAGTTTCAATTATCCGCATCCACAGCTTTTAATATATTCATTTCTTTTGGAATTTACTGGTTTTCCCTTCAGCAGTTCAAAGATTTTGTTTATGCCCGCCCCTTGGATGAAAATTTAACAAAGATTAGAACATGGCCTTATTTAAATTTTACTTATTAAAAACACCCAAGAATTTACAGCCTCAAGGATCGGTATGTTATTCTGAAACATCCACTTTTAATTTAGTGCGCTCGCTGCATAGCCTTGCCTTGGTGGTGGCCTAAAAGCGGTAAAAACATGTGTAAAAAAATATATAAACTCGAAGCTGCAAAAATTTTCGGAAACCTAACCTACCGAATCATTATCGCCAAATAAAGAAATGAAATCAAACACCATATTAAATTATAGCTCGTATATTCTTACACTCGTCAAACTGATACGTCAACACAAGAGAAAGACATCAGGGCTGATAGCCTTAAACGTGGGTCTTCAGGTGACTGTCCCGCCACTGCTTGGTCGTAAACGTCTTTTGACAGACGACGCACGGGAACGGCTTGATAACGTCGTGCGTGCGCATGTGTACCTTCAAGTTGTATCTGACCTTGAAAGTTTTTGCGCACACTGCGCACCTGTGGCAAGCGGTGTCGCTGTGCACCAACTTATGTTTGCTGAGCACCGATTTATGAGCGAAAGCCCTCGCACACACTGTGCACTTGAACCTTCTCTCGCCGGAATGGGTGAGCATATGAGCAGGAATATTGGCGGAGGCGCGGCCACAGACCGCACATACTACCTTACATTTGAGGTGTTTGCGGTTCTCGTGCGCGCGCAATCTACACCGTGGCACCACGTCGCCACAGTATACGCACAGCCCACGTTTGGGATTAATTTTCCTGCAAACAGATCCGTTATTTCTCCAAGATCGATTGAAATCGACCGCGACACTGGAGACCAGGTTTCTTCGCCTTCCGCCAAAATTCGACTATAAAACAGCCCACTGGCAAACCAAATTTTTTTTCTTTATAAAAAAATCAGAATGTTCGCTTTTTCGAGCACAACATGATCACCATCCTCTCATTAATTGTAACATTTTCCTGCTATGGAAAATATAAAATATTTAATTTAGTTCTTAAAGTGGCTCCAGAAATATTAGATCAGAAAATTAGCAAAATCAAAAGGTTTAATAAAATTTCCTGAAAAATTTTAAACGTACTTTAAGGTATTTTTAAAAATCAAGCAGTACAAACTTAATTTTATGCGACTACTAGTCAAAACGAATCAAAACCAACTGTAAAACATTTTCACGATTATTTTCATTATACTTTATCGCCCTCAAGTGCACAAAGAAAAGTTTATATATTTCTAAATTACAAATCCCTTTAATATAAGAATAGCAGGCTTTCCACAGCGTTAGTTAATATCACCAACAAAAACACTGAAATTCTGTTTAGAAATGTGGTGTTTTGGAAAAATGTATATCATTTATATGCTGTTAATTTTGTATGAAGAATATGTAAAAACAAAAATTTCTTTTAGCTTTTCCAAGTTCTCCAGCTTTCTAGTAATCCTGGAAACATGCCGATTAAGAGCAATACCTATTTCTAATATTTTTTGATGTGAATAAAATATAAAAATGTATAGAAATTGTTCTGCACTTTAAATTTCTCAAAATTCCTTTGGTTGAAAAAGAGGAGAGTTCGTATTTCCAAAGCGTTATTCTGACGCGTTCCAATAAGTGGGTCATTTAATTAATTGCAGAAAAAGGACATTAGTTCTAAATAACGATACCCTTCTCATGCCCAAATTTGTGTCTTGATGGTGACACGTTTCATAATTTCATGCCTTACCTTGTTGCATTGACATTTGAAATGGTAAATGAAAATATAGAATTCAATTCGTCCTAAAGAAATAGTAACCTCTTATTAAATCCAAAACTAACCTAAAATTTTAATTTTAAAATTTCCAAGATTTATTTTCATTTTTCCAAAAAAAAAATAGCGCTTGTCCCAGTCAGGACAACGACGTACGATATCAAAGAAACCGGTAAACCTAGAAATTATTGCCTGAAACGATTGCACATTCCAGTATTATAGCCGAAACAGGTATATTTGGCATTATATTGACTAAAAATAACTTAATGAAAAAAGTGATAATAGATGAAAACGGTTAAATGCCTCAAAACTTAGTAAAAATGTCTTGGAAAATTCTCGCGTTTCGAAGATAACTTTAAGAAAAAGTATACTTAAATTTAGCGTCCAAAGTTATATGGTTCTTTAGTGAATAAATTAACATTAACAAACTTAGCTTTTTATTAATTTCACGTCACGAACGTGTTTTGTTTTGTTTCAAACTAAACTTCTGGAACTTGTAAGCCCCAAATCGATCGCCTATAACTGAAAGACTTTTTGGATTATTGGAATTAAGTATCAACCATAAATATCATTTGACATCCTAAATAATAAATTGAATAACGAAAACCGGTTAATGGAAATGCCTTTTTTGTAATCTCTTAGAATAGTTTTATATAGAGCAACATAAAAAAGGTGAATTTATTTATTTTAACTTTAAAAAATACTCATTGACAAAGTTAATATTAAAAAAGCTTAGCCAAAAGTTTTAGAAATCAAGATTTCAACTACGCCCCCTAAAAATTTCAGTATTTTCTCTTGGCCGATTCACCGAATTTTAATTATCATATACCCGGTCACCCTTATGGGGAAACCCGGTACAAAAAGATATACTACAAACCAGTTTCGATGCGCAGCAAAACAAATTTAATATCAAGTTATAAAAAAAAGTAGATGGATTGAATTTGGATAACGCGCATTCTCGTTTGCCTTAGTGGCAAAATTTTTCCCAAAACACCGCCTTCGTTAAAAAAAATAGCAACATACCACGGCAAAATCGCTCGATGGTATGTATAAATAAACGTCATAAATGTAATCACAAAATGCTTTCTTTTACTACTACGAGAAGCATCCAAATCCAATCTGGTGTCTCCGGAGACAAGAATATTAAAAACGTTCGCGCTCATTGAAAGAACGGCGTCTGATTTTCCCGCAGAAAAAAAAACATACGTACCTTCTTATACCATCCCCAACAAATTTAGTCTCTCTGTTCGACCAGCAACACCTCCCTCACCCAATACTAACTCGACTCGAAATAAAAAAATGTGGTAAAAAACAGATCAAATTTTGATTTTTTAATCAAGTGGAAAATTGAGAATTACCAAGCAACCCCAAGAATGTTTACTAAAAGTTAAAATTTTCAAAAAGTATTTCTGTAACGTTTTTACATTGAAACCAGTAAAAATCAACCCACTCAAATAATTCCTCTTCCTACCCATTAAAATATATAATCCAAAACAACGATTTACAAAAACGAATGCTTTATTTCCAAGGTTCCGGGTGACACACGACGTCGCAGGTGAAGTTCGGAGACACATTTAGAGAAGGAAAGGGGTGCATCTATCTTCTTCAACGCAACAAACGACCGCAGCGATAAAATACATAACAACGATAACAAGAATTCAAAGGAGCCGGAGTTTATAACCAAAACGCCAAATTTCCTCATTTGGAACATCCCGCCGCCTAACGCCGTGACCGGGTGCGCGACGGGTTCGGCTAAATGGCCATAACTCCCATTAAACCGTTAATCCCCTAAACGCTTAACGACTAATACAGCTTAAAAACTACTACGCAGCGGTACCGCAACCAGAAAAGGCCGAAGCATTCGGCCGTACATTGTTCAAAACTTAAAATTAACGCCACTCTCTGGCGGCCGCCATGCGAAACACGCACACAAAAAATCAACCACACACACATACAGACGAGCACACTATTCGCACTGCTCCCACAACGGCAACAAAACCCCCACGCTAAAAAAAAAATGGCAGGAAAAATTGTCAAAATAGCCGCAACCGCCGCGACGTTCGGTATCCAGTATCGAGCAGTCGGCTAGCGTAAACTGTCAAAAATTCGGCAATCTACAAAACGGCGCATGCGCTAGCGCGAAATCGCGCCGGCAACAAGACACGCGTGTCCGCGCTAGTTCGAGTTTCTCGTCAAAGATGACCGAAACGAACGGGTCGAATATCTCGCAAATTGACCATTTTTCCCGCTGCCACGGTCGAGAAACGAGCGGGGACGGCAAACCGGAGACTCACGAAAACAACGATTCTCCTGAGGATTTTCCGCAGCCGTCCCACAACCCAGCCAAGGTAACGATTGTGACTATGGGAGAGGGCCGCCCCCGCACCTGTCAACGTCCTCCGCAAGCATCGGACGGCGCGAAACGAGAGAAAAGGGACGGCGCGGCCCCGCTTGCCGCATTCCAAAAACTTGGAAAGCGAGCCAGATATAGTAAAACACACAAGAGTACAGATACAAATGGGGGAGGGAGAGCGGTGACCCCGGCGACAAAAACTAATAAGCAAAATGGCGTGCGCCGTATTAATTCTTCCCGCCGGGGCTAAAAAATAAATAAACATTCGCGTTTGGGTGACCCCAATGACGTAGCGTACGCGGGAAAAATGTTTTACAACGATCGCGCTCCTGGTTCGACCTTCTACCAAAAAGAACTAAAAAGTACACTCACCTTAACCTCGAACGAATTTCCAACAAATGCGAGAAAAGAATCGTCGACGAAGAAAATGAGATCGAACCAGGCACCACGTGGTCGCGACCCAAACGCACGCGCAAAAGGGCGGGCTAGGGGGCGATAAAATAAAAAACGGGTACTCACGGTGCTTCGACGCCGTCTTTGCCGACGCCCGAGGGACCGGGTTGGTCGTCGGCACTGGTGCCGGGTACGTCGACGAAAGCGGGCTCGCGATCTTCGCCCTCGCTTTCGTCCGTCTCGTCCTCGATCTGAACAAAAAGGGGGCGGGAGGGTGGTTAAAGAGGCGGGAAACGTCGTGAGATCACGCGCTTACCTTGGTGACGGGCTCGGCGCCGTCAATGTCCTCGTCGTCGTCCGATTCCGCGGTAATACTAATTTGGGCCTTGACGGCGGCCGTTCGCCGCGCCCTCTTCGGGGGCGGTTCCTCGGACTCGTCTTTCGTTTCGGCGGCCGCAGCCGATTCCTGCAAAAACACCATGAAGAAACTCCCCGCCAAGTTCAAGTTTCTCCTTCTGTACGAGGTTGCTATATTACGACAGCCACACCTTTACAGTTGTCATGGATGATAGAAAAATCAATATATGTTGTTTCAATTTCACAGGCTTAGTATGCGGTCTACCTAAGGTTATTTGATTTGGAGAGCCCTATAGATTCCGTGAAAGTTATTTCAATTTTAATCCATGAAAATTAACTAAACAATGGCAAACTCTCTAGATAAATATTTCAAAAATTAAACTAAACTAAAAATTAAAAAAATCATTATCAAATTCATACATTACATGATTTCGACAAAAAATTAGAAACAGACAAATCGGACACTTGACAGTCTCAAAATGTTGGGATGTTATAAAGGCCAGTAATAAAAATTACGAATAATTGAAACATTCCAGGTTAGTGGGGAACCCTATTTTGCATATCACCCATAACAAGAGCCGGTGAGTGTTAAAAGTAAAGAGGCGCGACAGGATGGAAGAAATACTGAACAATTTTTGAGATAACAGTTAACTGAACCCATATAGTAAAAAAATATATATCAAACGAAAAACGTGAATGAGGCCAAAGGATTTTCTCTGAAATTTTGAAGAACCGCATTCGACGTTCGAAATAAATTTGTTATAGAACATAAATTTCATTCCAGTTGCAGTTGAACAAAGCGAAACATTTAAAGAGAACTTCCTAACCTTTAAGTAAAAACATTTATTGCAACTAGGTTTAATGCCATAGGGTAATAAAATGTAAATTTGCAATTACAGGGATAATTAAACATAGTGGACAGCTTAAAATCATATATCCCGAAGTTCACACAAATTGCAATTGTAGTTTTCTGGTAATTTAGGTTCTAAATCCTGCCTAAATTTAGTTTATATTAATTTGCATAAAATAGAAAGACCAGTTAGTTTGATTGGCATTACCACAGGTAGAATAATATAATTACACAGAATTATAATTATAGCAATCGGAAAATAACTGAGGAAAAGTAAGTATAATTCTAATTTTTAACATTAAGGCACAAGCAGGTCAACTACCGACAGTCTACCTACTACTCTGATAGTCATTGACAATCAACATAGGTAGACCCGAGGCCTATGGACTACGGCTAAGACCACTTTTTTTACACTTCAATAATGATTCATAATTCTCTGGCCACTAAGAAAGAAAGAAGGCCCCTTCAGACTTATTTCTGAAAATATTATAGAGCGGGTGTTTTAAGAAAAAAATTGAAAATCTGGAACTAAATTAAATTGGTTAACTCAGTTCTAAGTGCCTAAATATAATGAAATAATGGGGAACAAGTGTAGTCTGCATAAAACAAGAAGAATTGGAGATTTGCGATATTTTTAATGATAAATAAACAAAAGGCAGTCGTTTGCATAGATTTCGATAAGAGCAGCATGTGTTCCCCTTTCGTCTACCTATATATTTTGCCGAAAAACAGAGTCAGTGATCTTGCTTAGGAATTACTTATCTTTTAGGAAGTGCAATGTCGCGATTTTAAATGCTTGAAATTAAAGTTTAGAATATGTCACGTTTTGCGCCTCCTGCAGGATTGTCCACAATGTCCTCGACATTTGTGTAGGAATTAAAAAATATATATTTTATATTTTACTATGCTAATTGCTAAACAGAAAAGGTGCTGCAACTCACGTTTTTATTTTCTCTTAATTTATATTCTTTTTGAAATTTGGAATTGGAATTAGCCAGCCGAAAAGAAAAAAAATCAAATGAATTTAAAAAAATACTTAAAATTTGATAATACAATTTTTCAAGCTAATTTGACAACTAACCGTAATTTTAAACTGTTTCAAAATTCCCCTAAATCCTGGGGCGAGTTTCAGAGATATCCAGCATTCTACCAACCTTTTTGTTCCCTGTTTATGCACTTGGAAGCCAACTTGCATCTTAATTATAGAAAAGGATTAGTTTTAATTTGAGCATTAAACTCAAACTAGGAAATATAACAAAAATTTGGAAAAACAATTATTTTTAAGTTTTCGATTAACAATATATATTTGTACCCCGAGAAAAAAAATACTCACGCTTTCGAAAGAGTACTTGTTGTCCTGGAAATTTTGCAACATCAAGTTGGTCTCATTTTTTGCGGGGAGAGTGGTTTCGCCACTATCGTCAGTCTCTTCTTTCACTAAAGCTTCAGATTTCTGATTTGCTGCTAGCAACGTATCGTCCGCCTCCCTGACCACGCCTCCGCCGAATAGGGACAGAAGAGTTTTTTCGGCATTCGCCGACGTGTTCCAAAATTCGTAGAACATGTCAAGCTTGCACGAGCACCCGTCGCATATTTTCTTAGGTAATTTATCATCACGAGAGACCTGTAAAAATGATGCCCAAAAAAATTGTAAGTATATGGATTAAATTTTCCTCTTTTAGATAAACAAATATTCCCATTCAAATGATTAACAATGTTAAACTTCGAGCGTAATTATAATGCGCCATTATATATCTAGAGACATGCGCATATAAGACATCATATTTTTTTAACTTGGCTTCTTTAAATCCGCCTCATGAATCCGAAACAGACCAGGAAAATTGTGAAAAAAACAAAAAAGTAAACGACAACCTTCAAATATTTCTTTTTTCAAAAGTCGCGTTAGAAGATCAGCCCGCACAAAATATTCAAACAATGGTGGACGGACAAAGTAAAATGAAAAATGTCCGCCATCGTTAACGTCGTAACATTCCGAAGGTCGCACTGTATATTGATAGAGCTGAATACGCACTGGAAAATTTGTGGCCATACCCCACTTGAATCTTAAAAGGGCGAAGTACTTTTGAAAAAATCCCAAGATTCGCAAGACTTTTCAACGGATCTTACGTAAAAAAGAAACGGGACAAGAATTCCAAACGGCCACCATTTTTGTACTCCGCTTGCTATCTTTGCGCGTAAATGCGCACTCAGCATTAACGAAGAACAAAGTATTGATTTAATTACAAACAATTCCCGAAAAACATCTAACAACTGTGCGTATTCCATCCAAAAATTACGAAAAAATATCTTAATTCTTAAATCCCTATTTTATCCCGCGAATAAAACGAGACTCCACCTTTATTTTTTTTTTTGCTGCTATAAGAATGTCCCGAGGGAATCTGTAAAACATACACCTCATGAAATTGAGGCGCATTTTGTTTACTAAACAAAAGCAAAAATGATGTCAAAATTTCCAAAGTTCTGTCGAATATCATCTAGCAAAAGGAATTCAACAAAATGGCGGACGATGCCACTTACCTTTACCGGCAGGCAGGAACTAATTTTTTGGAAAATTTGCCTTATATCACCCTGTTCTTCGAAAATCGGTACATTCACTTGCTCTTTTACTAAACAGAGTCTACATAAACGCATTATTTCGCCCGGATTATCCATTTTTCCGCGGATATTTGATTAAAGTCATTGGAACTAATGCACTCCACTGCCACCACCTCAAGGACCGTTGTTGAAATGGGCAAAACGAAGCAGGAAGTGACGTGTATCGACGCTTAGCGTTAAAAATATCCGGCGCAATTTCCGTTCACGCTTGGGCGCGAAAGTTTAAATACCACATTATATCAGTTTGACTTTATTAAATTCCATTATTTTCATAAAAAAAAAGCCAAAGAGAAAATTGTGGAAAGTGATTTAAATTATTTTCGAACTGAAAAAACAATGAAATTATGGAGTTTTTTATGGACATAACATAGGAAATAACTGAAAATATACCTAATTTATTTGATTCTATAATAAATCAACATTGACGTATACTATAAAATCGAAAGGCGATATGTAATATTTTCCAACATAACATTTAAATTTTCTCTTTTGCTTCAATATAAACTGACCAAAAATATTCAATGAAATATTTTGACATTTGCCAAAGACGAATGCGTATATGCAGAGCTGTCATCGGGCTGATCTTTTGCGGGCTGGTTGTGGTTTGTTGCATAATCCATCAAAACTTAATAGTTATATTACAAAATGCTCAAGCCAGCATCGGTACCCGGCTATTTCAGAGCAGTGAGTCAAGTAGTAAGCAATCAGCTAAACACGTCTCATCAGTCCCTAGTACTAGCTAAAAAGCCAGCGGTGCATATACCATTCAATGGATCGACCCTTGTCTCGCTAGCCAGAGCGCTGCCCAATGGGAACGTAATCATCTCCTCTGGCCCTGCAGTTTCGACTCAAGTTAGATGGGCTCATACCGATATACACATCCCTGATTGGACGGAATACCGCAGGGAAAGTACTAAAAACCCCAACGTTAAAACTTCCCATAACGAAGACAACAGAAAAAATTTCACCTATCTTATGGCAGGCGGGCTAGGTGTGAGCGGCGCCTATGCCGCTAAATCTGTGGTTACCCAGTTTGTAAGTTCAATGAGCCCATCAGCTGATGTACTGGCCATGGCCAAAATTGAAGTTAAACTGGCGGATATACCTGAGGGTAAATCTGTGACCTTTAAGTGGAGAGGTATACAACACATTTGTTTTAATGATTCACATTGCTGCAATGTAATTTTTAGGTAAGCCTCTGTTCATTCGACACAGAACTCCAGAGGAGATATCTACAGAACAATCAGTGCCAGTTTCGACCCTCAGAGATCCTCAGCATGACAGCGAACGCTCCCCAAAACCCGAATGGCTTGTGGTGATAGGTGTCTGCACCCACTTGGGTTGTGTGCCAATCGCTAACGCCGGCGACTTCGGTGGGTACTATTGTCCTTGTCATGGGTCGCACTATGACGCCTCGGGGAGGATTCGTAAGGGACCGGCCCCACTTAATTTGGAAGTGCCCCCTCATGAATTTAACGAGGGGTTACTAGTTGTAGGTTAATAGATATTGAATTTATTTATGTGTAAGTGTGGTGGAGACATCTGTTAACTATTCAATAATATAATTATCGGTATTATGCTTGTTATTTAAATCCCTGGCCTGTTTCCCGAATGCCCAAAATGGGGAAGTTGACTAACAGTATTAAACAAAAGTAACGTTGCAGCCCATTGTTTTCAAACAATGTACATGCTGGGCAGACTGCTTTTGCTGATGGCTGAATGTAAACTGAAAGTAGGATGCAGGGATACCAACCATCAAAACTTATTTAAACTGAGTTGCATCATAGTAGGTTTTATCATATACTTTGAATTAAAGTAATTTTATCAGATATAAGCATATATCTGCATTTTATGTTATTTCATACTTGTATTATGTAATTTATATCGAATGTAAAATAACTATGGATCAAACGGTTTCACGTTGCCTAGCGACCGTAAAAAGTGTGCCCCCAGCCTACGATTTGCAATAAAAATTTTCATGTTACTTCCAATAATTACCGTCATCGGGTCATGGTCAGCGGCAAAGAATTTCGTAATAGCCTGAGAAAGGGACTATCGAATGCACAAAAAACAAAGGGATGCCGACTCGTTCCTGCGTTCACGATTCAAGCCTTACAAAAAGGTAAATATGTTTTGGCGGTTTGGCGAGGAACTATTTTTTTTTGTCGATACTCTTTAGGAACATGCGTTATTCCGCCACCCAAATGCAACGCCTTCAAGGAATCTGTACCGAAATCATCAAAATTTCGCATGAATTATATGAGAGGTAACTTGCCGATAGCGATGGAAGCCAAGGGCAGTAAAGTATCTTGGAAGGTAATGATTTTCGCATATGTGGATGGCTAATTTTAACTGTCATTACGACTCCAACATTTTGATAGCAGAAAAACATGTAATTAAGCTTAAAAATCTTGTGAAAAATTTAGATTGACAGCTAAAAGTGAAGCCAAGAAACGTTTTGTTTTGCAATTATTTGAGGCCGTACTTTCATAATTCTTCCTGAGTCTAGGTGGGAGTACTAGTCCGTACAAACTTGTCGAGTTTTACTAAACACGAATAACTATATTTAATTGGTTGTTAACATATAGAAATGAGTGACAAATTGACATTTTTCGGTGAAATATGTTTGGATAGTATTTACAAATCTTCCGGTTTTCGAACTTGCTGATGTTTCGCCAATCATTCGGTTGGTTTCTTCAGAGCTTAACTGAAACTCAGCAGAAATCCATAAGATTTGTAAATAGTATTACAGTAACGCATTGAAGTTTCCTTGAAAATTAGGATAAATACTTCTCTCGCGCATGCGGCAATTAGGTAAGCGAATCAAGCGAGTGTGCCAACCGGACAAGAAAAATTTGTGATCAAAAATATCAATCTTGCCAAATTAAATTTAGGTCTATATGTCTCGCTGATTATAATTTGGCTTCTTAGGCCGATATTGGCAAGTTAGATTTCCACTATTACCTGCCGATGTTCTTCGAAGGCCTGTGCGAAACGGAAAATCCATTCAAACTCTTTGCCCAGCAGGGGATACACGACATGTTGACGCACGGTGGGCAAAAAATATTCCCTTGTATCCCGCAACTTATAATTCCAATAAAAGGTTTGGTATAAATCATTTATTGTCGAGAGGCCGGAATTAAATATTTCTCTTTAGACGCGCTCAAGACGAAAAACAAAGAGGTCATGTGCACTACCTTAAAAGTGCTGCAGCACCTTGTCAAATCTGGCGATATGATTGGAGAAGCTCTCGTTCCCTATTACCGTCAAATTTTACCAACGTTAAATTTGTTTAAGGACAGGAATGGTAGGTGGCGCTATTGTTAAAGTTTTTTTGATTGACTATTCCTTTTAGTAAACTGCGGAGATGAAATTGACTACAGCCAAATGCGAGGCGATAATCTGGCGGATATAATTAATGAAACTCTCGAAATATTGGAAAAATATGGAGGTGAAGATGCATTTATAAACATTAAATATCTTATACCTACTTACGAGTCCTGCATGATGAATTAAGAAATTGCAATATAAATACAATAAAGTGATACTCTTAAAGTGTATTTTATTATAACAAAGCATTAAACATGTTAATTGATACCAGGATTAATACAAATAAATAGCAAAAACAGTCGTTACACAGAAAATTGTGTCCTAAAAGAATTATGAAATTAAATTTATGCTATTCTCTTTAAAACAACTTACATTCATAAAAATTTCACTTGTAGTTCCGTCAACGTCAGCATCCCAAAGGCACCTCACCCCAGCCTTTATACCTTGCCCTTTTTTTTCACCAATAATAACCTGTGCTATGTGTTTGTAACGCTTCATTTCCAATTCTAAAACCAACCTATCCACCGTAACATTGCTTCAAATACAACAGCGAGCTCACAAACCTTTCACTTTTTGATTGACATCGTTAGCTATCCTGATGGTCCATTTTTTCACTTGTTCCGGATCATATTGCTTACCTCCCAGAACAGCAGCTTGTACTTCTTTAATTATTTCCTTTACTGGCAATTCTTTGAACCTAAAACGGCGTTGTTTTATGCATCTGCAATATAAAGACAACCAATCACTTGCTTTTCTTGTAAATTAGGCTTAATTTGATAGGTGTTCAAGGGACCGACAGATTCATAACTTTGTTGTTGGGCGGCATCCGGTAGTTCCTCGATTTTTGTACCTAATGATGGAGTTGTAGCGTTTTCGGGGTTTATGTTATTCCGTTTTTCAACATTTTCCATTTTCTAACTTTTTTAGGTTACCTTGGTTCATTCATTTTTGTTAACTAACCAAAATCAATCAATTTTTCCATGGTAACAAATATGAACCACGCAGGTTACGTGGATATTGGCGTTGGCATATAGTCTTGAGGTTTTTTTTATATACACCTAATTAGGCTCATCTCAAATTAGGATCGATATTTACCCATCTTCCCGCATCCGCTGAGGAAAATTTGAGCGATAACATTTTTTCACGCACACAACACCCAAGACTCCCGGTGGGAATCGAACCCAGACTTGACGTTCTGTGATTGTGTTTTCTGTGTTCTATGCTTCATTATGACAATTTTTAAGATTTTCAGTCAAAATTTTTCTTATCAAGTTATGAGGTATTAATCTAAAAAATGCCTTGATAAGACGCGAACAAGCCTATAGGATAACTGCAACATTAATAATGAGACGATAAACGCCGACAGATATATCTATAGAAGCCAAACAATGGGAGGTTATGTGCCCCTTTCTTTAATTGGAGCCATACTTCTAAAAATGATTCTAAAAGTCTGGGCCTATTCGGGATTGGTTTTGGTGTTTTGTTTTTTACTATATTACATGTATGGCGGAGTATTCGCAATACTATTGTTAGTTTTTGCAGTAACAGGTAATTTTTGCATAGCTAATATTCGATTTACTTGCAATAAACGCGTTGATTGTAGGTATTTTATATCAGGTTCAAGATAATTTACTATACTCACCTGAATTACCTAGTCATTCTCGGGTTTACATACCAATACCCTCAATGTTTGGCCTTCCATTTGAAAGTATAAACCACAAGTGTCCCGATGGCACTACTATTCACATGTACTTTATTCATCAGCCTAAAGAAAGACAACGATTGGCGCCTACGATAGTATTTTTCCATGGCAATGCTGGAAATATGGGGCACCGACTACAAAATTGTGTGGGGCTTTATCATAACTTGCATTGTAACATTCTGCTGGTGGAATACCGAGGTTATGGATTATCTGAGGGCAGCCCGACTGAGGAAGGACTGTATTTGGATGCAAGGGCCAGCATAGATTACTTATTTAGTCGTAATGACATAAACCATTCCGAGGTGGCTGTGTTCGGCAGATCTTTAGGTTTTCTCAATTTTTTTCTGTTACTGCTTGGATAATGAAAGTTCATTTAAGGTGGGGCAGTAGCTATCGATTTGGCAGTACGAGATAATTATGAGAACCGCATCTGGTGCCTAATTGTAGAAAACACATTCACTAGCATACCTGAAATGGCTAGGATACTATTGGGATGGAGAATTTTACAGTATTTGCCCTTTTTTTTTTACAAAAATAAGGTAGTTTATTGGGAAGCACTTGAACAAATTGATTTTAACCATTCACCATTTTTTTAGTTTATGTCTGATTACAAAATTAAACGGCTTCGAGTACCAACATTGTTCATATCTGGTTTGGCCGATACCCTTGTTCCGCCAAAAATGATGCACGATCTTTTCAGTCGGTGTAACAGCCTTCGGAAACAACTTTTTCAGGTACCAACAGGAACGCACAACGAAACGTGGCAAATGCCTGGTTATTATCACACTGTAGCGTTGTTTTTGCAAAATTGCCGAATAAAAACTTTGATGAGGCAAGCCAAAATTGAAATAAATTCAGATTCTGAAGGAAAATCGTCTGACAGTCAGAGTCTGTGGAATGCCGTTCAAGAAATTTGAAAAAACAATAAGCGAGGACTTTAGTGAATTTTTAGGTTTGTTAGATCACTTTGCGTTAAGTGGACTATGCCCACTTTGGCCGCCTGCTTTGCAACTTTGCAACCCACCTGTAGAATAATTTGTCCTTGTACATATAGCTTTACTTATCTGTGGAATGGCCTAAATAAATTTCATATCTTTTTGAATAATTTCCGCCACTTGTTTTCATTTGCCTAATCTAGTATGTTAGATATAATTTAATTGTGCAAGCGTTTGCCCGTTTTAAAAAAAAAAGTGGTTTCATTTTCATGAGGTTAGCCATGATGACAAATGCAATTAAATCAAAGTAAAAAAAAACAACAAAATACTTCCTTAAAAACATTTAGTTCACAGATACAAAGATAAGGTGTGGCTAGGATCCAACCCGCCACTAATACTTTACATGGTACTTTTCTCATACTTAATCCCATTGCTAGCCGAGTTGCACATCACAAAATCCAAAATTATTTGGACCAAATTGTTTAAAATACCTAAATATGTAAACAAAACTGTCTTAAAGTAAGCAATTGATGTCAAGCATAACTTACCTGAACACACATAGACCCCACCCACGATTGAACACAACCTAACTAAAAACATGCCCAAGTTGTCTCTCTCTTGTTTCACGGTTACTCTCAGGGCAGACATGTCATATTTAAAGAATATACCCGGCATACCATGGCTGCCTTTGGCGTGGTCAATGGGCCTTTTCAACTCTTTGACACTGTATTGGTAAGTACTAACGGTGTTTAAAAATGTTTTTACAGTAGTTGGCACAACTTCAATGAAATAATTGACCACCGTCATTGCTGCAAGTAAATTCCCACTACACTCTGGCAAATTTAAAAACATTTACCACTCACATTACCATTGTCTATGATCTGCTCATCCCCTTCCAGAGGGTGCACAATTCCCGGACTCGAATCCCCAAAACTAAATTTGTTTATCCTATGAGTAAAATTGTAATCCACATCAAACATGAAAGAGCTGATGTGAATGTGGCCCCGTGGTAGATGGATGCTTTTTCCAGCAGTTATGTGAAAATTTCCCGCCACTTTGTTTAAAATAAACGAACCATAAATGCGGCAAGCGTCGTGAGGCCTATCAGGTTGGTCACTACGAGGCGGTAAGTCCCCAAACATTGTAGTAAAACTACTGCTCCATAATAAATCCTAAATTAAACAATACACTCTACATCAGTCAATAATAATTATCAAATAATTAAGTGCTCATCACCTTAATAGAGTGGTATTCCTCTCTCAAATAAGAGTTAAAATGTTTCTTGTAATCAAAGTGTATTTTCTGGTTTGGGGCAAGTTCAAACCAAGTATCTTCCTCCTCCAGGTGGCCAAATTTAAAAGCATTTTGATTAGTTGAATCCAGAATATCAGCTCCAACAACTACAAAATTATCAACTCTTCTAAAGAAATATCGACTCGGGATACTTCCAATAAATACCAACAGTGAATCTTTTTCACTACTTTACTTACACTGACATGGCATGGCCACTGTTATGTCAATGTTAATTTTGAGTTGCTCTTCAAGTTGCACGTCCGGCGAAAATTTGAATACAAATTTACTGTTTAGATAATAAGACGTCTCCGAATACACTAACCAAATAATTAATGCAAAACTTATGATGGAAACTGAAACAAAAAAATGTTAACCCTATCACTTTGCACAACAGCAATATATACTCTTACAAGTTCCACCCACGGAAGAAGTCTCCTTATATGTTTCTTCGATTTTTGGAAAAATATCTAATTTTTTCACTTTATTTAATCTGGAACCTCTATAACGCGGAATTGATACTTTATCAGTTTCCATTTTTGACCATACAGAATGTTAAGCACAAAAGTCTAAGGCTATTCTTCTTTTCTTCTTTTTAATACCAACATGGCGTAATTGACCATAGATCCATCTCGGTCCAAAACACGGTTCAGTCAATTCTGTTTTCTATCACATAGTTAAATTTTGGGAAAGTCAAATATACGGATATTTTAAATATAGAAACACAAAAACGAGCCGCTAATGATAATGGTCCGTTTTTCGGAACAGGTAATTGTATATGGATGACACCACTTTTTGGGGTATTTTTATCCACTCCGTCCGTTATATCAAAATATGGCGTGTTTACATAACAGCCGCCGAGCCGCTCATGCTCGGGATCGGCATGGATTATTTAACCGTGAAACACTTTGAACTCGCGAGTCGATCCACATTCCGCGTTCAGTTTGTCGTAAATCGCGGCGCGGTGTGGACGTTAGAGGCTAGGAAATTGCGTCGTTGCCATGTGCGCGGAGACACACACAATCGCTCGTTTACATAACAAGCTCGCAAAATCTTAAACATCAAACGTCCTTGGTAATATATTTGGGGTTTGTCGTAACGCGTATTAGAAGTGCTTCAAAATCTGTGGTACAATAACCCTTCTGCCAAATAATGTATTAGTGTCGTAAAATGATGCGACGTTCGGATTCGACAACGACCGAATTAAAGTGCAACGGACGATCTTTGAGGAGGAGCAGTGAGAAGATTAAGCGGCTCAAACGACGCGAGAAACGACCCTACGGCAGACCGAAATTGTTCAGTGGCGGGGACTTGTTTAGCTGCCCGTTATGCGGAAACCTTCTAAAACACCCCGTGACTGTAGGGTGCGGGCACACGTTCTGTTCCGGATGTTTGCGTAGCGATTGCGGCATCCGTTGTTCGAAATGTTCGACGAGTTTCCTTGGGAATAAACAGAAGCCCCATTGCGTCAATGTTGTCGTGCAACATTTAGTGGAGAAGTGGAGGGATAAACCTGACGATGACAATGACACTGGTAATTTAATATATATAGAGGGCTCGGGTTGGTTGTTACGTAACTCGCTGCCTGAAAAAAATATATATATTGCGTAAAACCATGACGTCACACGGCGGCCGTACCTTTTTTTTTTCGCACGTTCGTCGAGACTGCGCGTCCGGCAACGCCGCCGGTTTCTGGTCTCTGGCGCCGCGCGGGCAACTCGAATCTTTCGACAAGAAAATAAAAGGTTTTTTTTCCTCTCCCTTCAAATGAGTAATTTTGTTACACGGCAGAGATAACGAGGTTACGTAAAGATTTGTGTTTTTAATCGGCCAATTCGAATTACGTGTACGTATCGTAATAAATGTTTGTTAAAATTGCGCGGCAATTCGCGTTGCCCGGCGCGACAGTTGCGCAACGCCATTGTAATTTATTATTGGCGTCGGATTAAAATGCGTTCCGCTTTGATGATTATTCGAAGCAACGTTTGGCGAAAAAATATATGGGAGCATTTTCGTATGTGTGTGTTGGTGACCCTTGGTGTCGCCTGGGTCCTAGCGTCCGTGGCCGCCTGCGTTCCAATGCGATCTAAACTGGCCTTTAACTTCTCACATCTCTTTTAGCTAATGCCGATTTTGAAGCAATCGCGCCGTAACACTTATTGCGGCAATTTAAATGAACTTTACCTGAATGACACAACCGCTTATTGTTATCGTAAAGGCCCTTACGTAACCGCGACAGCACTTTGTTTTAAATATTTAAACCGGCTCGGTTAGGCGGTGACGGATCGCCCGCACCAACAGCCATGGCTGTTGTCAAGCTGGGCAATTTAACTTGTAAATTCCCTTTCGTATATGAATAGCTTGATGGGTCTTCATTAGTAGCTTATGACATTGCAAGTTTCGGAACTGCTTTTTCATCCCCTTATTTTACCGGATTGAAAATATTTAGTAAATTCTTAATAGTATTTACTCAAATTTTGTTTTTTAACCGAAGAAAATTGGTTCCACATATCAAAAGATTAGGTTACTAAATTTGTAACTTAAACAGAAATGTATTGACTATTTGATGGTAAACTAAATCCATTTGTTGTCTCGTTTTATAACTGGGTACATTAAACAAAGCCATATAAGATTGTATATACGCTACGTAAATAAACAAATGCACACAATTTCAAACCATTCTATTATATCATGAAGCCTGAAATTGATTGTTGATAAGTTTTGATACTTATTATTCTATTAATTATTCGATAATCAATTGTTTTGCTATTTTGTTTTTGGTTAGTATTTTTTCGGATATTTCAGTCTTGCCAAGCCTACAAATCTGATTGTGATGGTAAAATGCCATAACAATGCGATTTTCTGAATTTTCTAGTTGCTGCAATCTGATGCTGAGAATGTCCACAAAAAAACGAAAGTTGTAATAACCAACCGTTAAAAAAATACCTTTCAAGTTACTAGGGATTAGTAACCCAATAATAACCCCACTCTATGTTGATTATCCGGGTTATCTGGGATTATGCCGTAGAAATACTAAAAACTATCCAGTTTAAATTATCAGTTGGCAGCAGAATAATTACTACAAATTGCTGTTACCTCTCGCCTAAAATTAGAAAAAGTTAGCTGTTTAAAAAGTGAGTTTTAAACAACTATTACAAAGCGCAAATATTAATCTGTTGCTGGAGCTGTAACTCTCTAGGTTTTGACCACCATAATTCTTGTTGAGACCGTTGAGTTTATGAGAATCAGTTATTGTATTAGCCAACATAACGCAATGTCAAATAAAGCCCCATTGTTAGACAAAAATCAGGGTCAGTTTAAAGAGTCATAATTCGTTTGGCCACACCCAAAACTAAAAACGATTAATGTCGCGAATTGTCGGCTATAGTGTGGACCAAAGCCTTATCGTTAAGTTTGAAATGATAAGCGCATGGAATATTCGTCTTCTTAATGTTTTCATATTTTCTAACGGAAGTGCCTCTTGTTATTAGCTTAATTAAGGTCAGCATTTTTGCGTTGTAGCGTATGCAATCTTAAATCTCGTTGGCGCGGACAGTGCGCGTCCTTGTCTGCATTAAATCAACAGAATAATTGTAATATGTTGTTACGTATCGAAAAAATCCTATTATAGAGTATACGTATTGCGTAAAACACCGAAGCTAAACATCTGCGGTTATACAACTCCTTACGTATGTAAGTATGAGGCGGCCCACGAATATAAACGGTCGACTGTGGATGTTTCGGGCGCGTTTGGAAAATATTTAAACCACAAATCATTGCACAAATTTTATTTAATTGTCACAAACGTACAAGTTTTAACGACGTCACACATGATGCTTGCACAAATTTTGTTACCAACTGACGAAGGCAGGACCACAGTATCACTACGGCGAAGTAGCGTTAGCCTTGATACCGCGGATCTTCATTCAGTGACGTGGCCCTTGCCAGTCCAGGATAAACTCCACGAAAAGCGTTACTTTACGCAGATTTGGCTTAGGAATGGGACGGTCGGATGCAGCCCGCGTTTGTAGCGCTTCATCCGCGTGAAAAAATACGCAGCGTTTTGGAAATAGTCTGCGACGGGATCCGGACCTCTAATCCGGTACAGCGGCGTCAAGTCCTGGTCGTACGCGCGGGGCAAGAATCGATCGAACAGACGTTGAGTCGAAACGACGTTGAAAATACCCAGGAAGCAGCAGAACAAAACGATGTGACATCGGAGAGGTGTCATCTTGGTCTTTTTGTACAAGCGCTTGCGATGCTTACGTATATGTCGATCGTGCAATACTTTTGCTCGTCGACGTGTTATTAAGGACACATTTAAATAAGTACTGACTCAGGTACAGCGGCCGGAAAGTCATCCTGAATAAGTAGGGGTGCAATTAGTCCGGAGGGTTCCTTCTTACCTGGTTCACGTAACCCGAGAAAACTAATAAAGTTTCGAATTAAATTGGGGTACCATTATACCGTAGTGCAATTAAAGACGTCCCAATTGGCGTATGCAAATCAAAGTTGAAAAGGAATTCAAATGGGAATAAACAAAAATCCGATGAATTTTTATGTCTATTTGTAACTAGAGATGCAAAATGGATCCACCACTGCACTCCTGATAAAAAAAAAACAGTTAAAACAGTGGTCAGCAACGGGTGAACCAGCTCCGAAGAGGGCAAAGGTAATTTTGTCATCTAACAAAGTTTTAGCGACCATTTTTTGAAGCATGCTCTTTTTTGGGATGCAACAGGTATTATTTTTATTGATTACCTTGAAAGAAAGTGACGCTATAAAATCGAATATATAAACAGCGATGGAAAAAAATATGGAAAAGTTTTTTTTAATTATCATACATTCTTAACTGATCATCTGGATTGATCTGCTCTGATTGTTTAAAATGGGGAAAAATCGGAAATTGCAAAGTCTTTAAATATTTCTAAAAGAGTTTTTTTACAAAAGTATGAAAGTCGTCCATCTGGGACAGCGCCAATCATTCGAGTACAAGGTAATCGATTTCAATACAAAGAGATATGGGAAAACAATGCTACCATCTGCAGAACTGTGCTTGAATGGCCATCCCAATCACCAAATCTGAACCTAATTGGAATACCCTGGATCGGCGAATTCGAATGCATTGCAATGTTAGAAATCAACAGAAACTCTTTAGTATGATTGAACCAGAGTAGTCGAGGCGATACCGTAAAATACCACAAATAATAAATCATTTTTTTGTGAAATAATTTTCCATAGAATTACCAAAGGTTCCGTACCTATTTCCAGTTTTTGTTTGATATTTCTTTAAAATTTAAAAATATCAATCTAGACGACAAAAAAATATTTGTAAAATAACCATATACCCTTTTTAAAAAACTTTACCATTATGTAACCAACGGTGTCATAATTGAAGTGTCCATAATTTTTTCCACCACTGTCTTATCTATAACTCTCATTGTAATTAGTTCGGTTATCTGTGACGTAAACCGACAGCGACTCGTTTTTTTTTTTGTTCGTCCAAAATAGAGGTAACATTTAGCGGCACGTGTTCGCCGTGCGTTAACCTTATCCTACGTAGCCGTGGCCTAAATAGCGGGACGCGTTCGCGCGAATTATGAATTATATAACTATATCAGTCAAGCTCTGAAGAAGTCAATAGGATGATTGGCGAAACGTCAGCAAGTTCGACTCAGCCAAAACCGACGCAGGAGGAATCCAGAAGTTTTGTAAAAAAAAGTATATCTACGTCTATAATAGACGCTCGTTGAACTCGAGAAACGCTGAAATGTGATCGGACGACCAGCTTATTTTAAATTTTGCGGCGCATCGATTTCCGGTTCAGAGCAATGATGTCACCCGTGCGGCGCCTTGTAATTTATCGAAATTTTTAAAAATTATGTATGGTGTCACAAATTAATTTTCCTACTATGATAGGTTTTAGTCACTGGTTTTTTTCAAGTCTTAACTTAAAACATTAATCAAAAAAATGTAAATTTTTGTGAGTTTGATCATAGAAATAAGAATTTATGACGGAATTAGATGAGCTCATTTATTGCGACAAAAAGAACGAATTTATAGATAAATTTAAAAATGGTATGACACAGTACATTAGCTGATAGATATATTGTAAGGTCTCTCTGAATGACATGACGAATTAATCTGATTTAATATTAATTAATCACCAGTGAGCACAAACAATAGTAGATATAAAAAATCACAGTTAAAACAGAATCACCCTCATGCTGTTCTGCAAAAAATGCAACCAAAAACTCGTGGTATCAGAAAAAATATAGGAAGCAACACGTTGATGAGTCCTTCAGTCACTTAAACTCGAAAAGTATATAGTCATCAGGACAATGTGTCGAAATTTTGTCCCAAGTTTTTATATAGATGAAATGTTAGACGTTTGAGACGAAATCTCATCAAGATCACCGCTTTGTTAGTAAATGTAAAGATTTTTACTTAATCTTTAGTCCTCCGTTAACTCTACGTCTACACAAAATATCGACCTGACAAAATAACAAAGGAAGTCCTAAAAGTTTAGGCATT